ACACACACACACACACACACACACACACACACACACACACACACACACACATATATTGAGACAGGATCTCAGTTGTTTAGGGCCTCACTAAATTGCTGAGACTGGACTCAAACTTGCTGTCCTCCTGCAGCAGCCTCCCAAGTGGCTGGGATTGTAGATGTATGCCACCACTTCAGGCAGCAAGAAACTCAATCTCAAAAACAAAATAAAACAAAACAAAAAACAAATAGAGGATAAAGGAGCTGGAGGTATAGTTTAGTGGTACACTGTGTGTGCCTAATATATGCGAGGTCCTGGGTTTAATCACAAGCAACATGCACAGAGGAAAAAAAAAAAAAGGAAGGCAGACAGGAAGGAAAGAAGACAGAAAAAGATACTTCATGCAAACCATGAACAGAAGAGAGGAGTGGTTATACTAGTAACAAACTAAATTAAAAAAAAATATTATTAGAGACAAAGAATGGCATTATGTAATGATAAAAGAGTCAATCCATCAAGAAGACATAAATTTACAAATATGTACCTAATAACAGTTCTAAAATAAAGTAACATCTGACATAATTGGGGCTGGGTACAGTGGTACACGGTTATAATCCCAGTATCTCAGGAGGCTGAGGCAGGAAGCAAATTCAAAGCCAATCTCAACAACAGCAAGGCACTAAGCAACTCAGTGAGACCCTGCTCTAAAATAAATAAATATAAAATTTATATAAAAATAAATAAATAAATATAAAAATAGGGCTAGGGATGTGGCTCTGTGGTAAAGTGCCCCTGAGTTCCCAGGTATGTGCCCCCCAACACACGAAAAAAAAAACCCTGACATAATTGAAGAAAAAATTAGACAAGTCCATAGTAATAGTTGAAGACTTCAATACCCTACTTAAAAAAAAAAAAAATAGAATAACTAGACAGAAGATCCAGCAAGAAACAGAAGCATGGCAACTGAACACCACTATACACCAACTAAACCTACTAAAATTTATAGAATATTTTATCCAAGGGCAGAAAATAAATTCTTCCTAGACAGATAATGTTAAGCCATAAATTTTTTAAAAAATCAATGTGTCCCCAATCACAAAGCAATGGAATTCAAAATAAATAATGGAGACATTTGGAAAATTCACAAAATGTGGATTTTTTTTTAATATTTATTTTTTAGTTGTAGGTGGACACAATACCTTTATTTTTTTAGTTTTTTTATGTGTTGCTGAGCATTGAACCCAGGCCTCATGAATGCTAAGCAAGCACTCTTCCTCTAAATCACAACCCCAGCCCAATATGTGGATATTAACACACCACTAAATAGTCAATGGGTCAAAGAGAAAAAAAAAAAAAATCACAAGGACATTAGGAAATACGTTTTTTTTTCTTTTGAGGGTTACTGAAAATTGAACCCAGTGGTATTCCCCTGAGCTACATCCTCAGCCCTCTCTCTCTCTCTTTATTTATTGGCACCTGGAATTAAACTCAGGAGCACTTAACCACTGAACCACATCTCCTGCCCTTTTTAATTTTATTTTGAGATCGAGTCTCACTAAATTGCTGAAGCTGGCTTTGAACTTGCAATTCTCCTGCCTCAGCCTCCTGAGACACTGGGATTACAGATGTATGCCACCATGCCCACCTAGCTCTTTTCTTTTTTGAGACAGGGGCTTACTAAATTGCCTGGGCTGGCCTCAAACTTGCAATCCTCTTGCCTCAGTCTCCAAGTTGCTGGAATTACAGGAACAGCCCTCTGTACCCAGCTTAGAAAACAATTCAAGATGAATAAAAACATGGGCTGGAGATGTGGCTCAAGCGGTAGCGCGCTCGCCTGGCATGCGTGCGGCCCGGGTTCGATCCTCAGCACCACATACAAACAAAGATGTTGTGTCCTCCGCCGAAAACTAAGAAATAAATATTAAAAAAAAAAACCTCTCTCTCTTAAAAAAAAAAAAAAAAGATGAATAAATACAAAAACACAATAAACTAACCTTATAGGATGCAATGAAAGCAGTACTAAAGTGAAATTTATGACTATAGATATCTATATCATAAATGTCTAATATCAATAATTTAACCTTCTACCTTAAGAAAATAGAAAAAGAACAAACTAAACCCAAAATAACCAGAAGAAATAAGATTAAATCACAAATACATGAAATACAGAATAGAAAACAATACAGAACACCAAAAGTTGGTTCTTTGAAATGGCTGACCAAGACAAAAGAAAAAATTCCAGTTACCAAAACCAGGAATGAAAGAGGAAACAATACTACCAACCTGACTTAAATAAATTGGCTAGACCATCTACATTTTTCAAAGGGGTGAATGTGGAAGAACTGGAGGAAAAATCTCTGAATTTTTCAAATGAAAAGGATTTGGAGCAGGGTGTGGTAGTGCAGCCTGTAATCCCAGCAGCTCCAGAGGCTGAGGCAGGAGAATCCTGAGTTCTATGCCTGCCTCAACAACTTAATGAGGTTCTGAGAAATTCAGGCAAGACCCTGCCTCTAAATAAAATGTTAAAAAGGCTGGGGATGTGGCTCACTGGTTAAGAGCCCCTGAGTTCAATCCCTGGTACAAAAAAAAAAAGGACTCAGAAATTTCAAATTTGTTTTTTGTGAAAGAAAAAGAAAATCCTCTCTGATACGTTTCTCTTGGGACTGGCTGATGCCCTTGAAAACAGCAACAACAATTAAATTTTTTTTCTTATATATATATTTTTTAGTTGTAGTTGGACACAATGCCTTTATTTTATTTATTTTTATGTGGTGCTGAGAATTGAACCCAGTGCCTCACATGTGCTAGGTGAGTGCTCTGAGTCATAACTTCAGCCCAAACAACTATAGTTTTAAGAGGACAAAAATAAGAAATTAGGTGGAGAAATAAAAATATTCCTTCAATGAAATATATTTATGTTTAATACACAGTGCAAAAGCCAGACATCCTTCAGTCTAACAATTTACATTGTCCTTTTAGACCTAATTTGTACTGCCATCTTGTGGCAGTTTTTAAAATTCAAGCTAATTATTTTACTCAGAAGTAATTTTGAATTTCCTGAGCAGAAATTTTCAATGGCTTTCTGTTACTAAACTTTATTTTCCCCATTATCAGTTTGAGAATAAAAATATCATAGTTTTCAAACATGTAATATATGTCTTGAGATCTGGAGTAACTGTCTAGGGAAAAAAAAACAGTGAAATGACACTTTGTACAGAAAACCAGAAATCTGTTGATTTCTACACAGAATATGTTGACTTTTGACACCTTCTCCCTCTCCCCCTGTCTCACCAGCATAAGAGTCTCTGGGAGTGCTCCTTCCCTGCTGTCCTCTGCCTCCCTAGTGGACAAATAATAAACATTAATAATACTTCCTGTTTCTCTGCAACTACACATTCAAGCATATATTGTTCTCCCAGAGTAGTCACACTAGTTCAAGAAAGATCTATACTTTACTACTTCTAAAGTTAACATGATAAACACTACTAATTTCATCCTTGAACACTTCTATTATTTCTATCCCTATTGATTCAATGTCAGCTTCTAATATCAGGTCTCCATTGCCAAACAAACAAAAAAGGTCTGCAGGGCATCAAATAGTTTCTGCCAAAGCCAAGATAAGTTTCAGAATCCTGACTTAAATTGTTGCTTGCATTAAGCTTTAGAAATGAAATTTTGAAAAGAGAAAGTGAATATTACTTACTTGGCCCGCACTACCAAAGCCAGCCACTCTATAAGGGAGAGACTCCACAGAGGAGGATCGACTATATAAGATGAGACAAAAAATTTGGTATTGAACTTTGACATGGACCCAAAGTCTCTTAAGTCCCAATCTGAGCCACATCTAGGTATTTACTTCATCTTCCAACTTTTGCCAACAGTTTTTCATGTTGCGGTAAAGGTCTTATACTCACCTGACCACTTGGCTGCTATGCTGGAAACTGAGTCGTGGAGTAACTGAAAGAGAATAACATGCAGGATAAAAAGCTGTCATCACTAGTACATGCTGCTTTGGTTACCTGGTTGTATGATGTTTTTCATATCATACATAATTTTAGGAAAATCACATTATGTTCTCTGAGAGAAAACAATTTTCCATGAGAAAATATATTTATTCATCTCACACAGATATGTGGTCAAAAATATATTGTCTACCTGACTGTGATGGAGAAGTAATGCCCACTGGTCGAGGTGTGGTCAGCCTGCAAGCAAAAAGAGGTAGCTCTAATCTCACTAAGCATAAGTGTCATTTTAGAGGATCAATCAGATCATTGTTTATAGAAACAGTAACTTCCTCTCTGAATAGATTGTTTATCGTATGTATTAGAATTATCACTCCAAAATATGGAAGCAAAGCTTCCATGAGATCCCTTTACTCTCCAACTCCTAAGCAAGAACTTCTCCACTCCCCTATTCTCCATAGTAGAAGTTCTTCGTACTTGTTTTCTTCCTTTCCACAGTGCCTCATCAAATACTGTCAACCTTACATCTCTTCATGTATTCATACATCCCTCCATCCTCCAACCCATCAAACCCATCTATCCAACAAGTATTTTTTATGTTGATATATATCCTAGATCTCTAAATTACAAAATAACTGGAATAAGATTCCTCTCTTTGAGAGACTCACAGGCTAATGAGAGATACTTTGTTAAAAAAAAAAAAAATCAGGGGCGGAGCTGGGGTTGTGGCTCAGCGGTATAGTGCTTGCCTAGTACATGTGAGGCCCTGGGTTCGATCTTTAGCACCACATAAAAATAAATTAATAAAAAATAGGTATTATGTCCAACTACTACAAAAAAAATAGAATATTAAAAAAAATCAGGGGCTAAGGATATAACTTAGTGATAGAATACTTGCCTAGCATGCACAAGACTCTGAATTTGATTCTCAGGATAAAAAAAAGAATAAAAATAACGCTTATTAAAATGGGTGTACTGAAAGTACAAAAGAAAAAAACACTAGGCAGTAACTTATATGAGTGAAGGGTGTCATGTCTTTTTCATCCACCGATTCAGGGTTGGTATTCAAAATATTTAACAGTTGGTAGGACACCCATGTCACCAACTAAAAAGGACTAGTGCTGTAGACCCACCTAATATAGTACTTTAGAAACTAGAGTAGGCAGTAAATCAATATTTATTGAATGAATGAACACAACATCTAACTCCACCTAATGCAGTCTTTGCAGAGGATATTATGTGAGTTGAATTCTGAAGGATGAGTAGTGTGACTATCTTATGATAGTCAAGGGTATTACAATCAAGATTTCACTTTAACTAAACAAATTTCACTTCAGCACTTTTCAGTGAATAATTCTTTCTCAGAGAAATATGAGAGAAATTCACCAATCATTTTCTTTATCTTGAAGCCCACACAGCCAGGAATCAAGAAAGAAGAGGCTCAAAGCTTCCTATCACAAGGAAATGATAAACATTTAAGGAATGGGAATTTTAATTACCTTGATTTTTATCATTACACATTGTATAACTGTATTAAATTATCACACTTACCCCATAAATTGTTTTACAATGGGTACAATTGTTATATCAATTAAAATATTTTTTTAGAAAAACAAAGAAGTTTTCGGCGGGCTAGTATAGTTGCTCATAAACTAACCTGTTTCCTTGGTACCGACTTGGAGATTCCTGTGGGTGAAAAAATGGGAAAAAGGAAGCTGAAGATCAAAGGTCCTAATCAATGGATCTCAGTCTTACTTGTTAGATAACTCAGATGCAGTGTCTCTTAATTATGGCTGCTAAGGTTTCCTACTAGCTAGGAGAAAAAACAGGAGCAATGTTTCCTTAGGAAATTATTAGCTTTGATGAAATACAATGTTAGTTTTTCTTTATAAGAGCACACTGGGAATCCTACAGACCAAAATATGTAGTGAAATATGGAGAGTTTCTAGGGATTGAAAGGAACATAAAATGACCACAATTTGCTAGATCAGTTATAGGAATGAGATCAACAAAATTATATAAATACACAGAATAGTTTTAGGAAAAAAGGAAATGTCTAGGGAGTGTTTGGGAGAAGAAGGGTCCTGAGGTGTCTTGGGCTTCTTGAAGTGACAATCTGAGCTGCAACAGATGTCTCTTTCATTTATAAGAAAGCTTCCTAATTGGTACGTCACAACTCACTAATCTTCAATGGGTTACAAGTGTACTAATATTAATACTTACATCCCTCTAAGGTCTCTGTAGCCTTTTCCTTTATTTCAGTGTGCTTGACACACAATATCAATTTCCATGTGTGTCATCATATGAAAAAAGTTAGGATGCCCTATTTTATTATAGCCAGGTATATTGATAGATGGAAAAGCAGGAGAGAAAATAATAGAAAAGCAGGAGAGAAAATAATAGAAAAGAAACTATTTCATTCACCTTTAGTAAGGCTAGAAATTTCTTCAGTTCTCCATTCTCCTTTCTTAAGGTTGACAGCTCTCTAGGCGAACATTGGAAATAATCAGCTCCAGGTCAGTTGGAGAAAAAGTCTTAATATCACCATCATCATCAACAACATCATCATCATCTAGTTAATGCTTACTAAGAGATACTTGAAGATAAACATGGCAAAGCTTTGATGGTGAAATAATCAAGTGGGCAAAAATAAGCAGTCACTTGATATGATTTCAGGGGAGTTACCACAGAATTCCATTTCCTCTCCATATATCCAATTATGTACCTGAATATACATTGGGCAATTTTCTTTTTTTTTTTTTTAAAGAGAGAGTGAGAGAGGAGAGAGAGAGAGAGAGAGAGAGAGAGAGAGAGAGAGAGAGAGAGAGAGAATCTTTGTTGGTATGTGGTGCTGAGGATCTAACCTGGGCCGCACGCATACCAGGCGAGCGCGCTACCGCTTAAGCCACATCCTCAGCCCCCATTGGGCAATTTTCAGTCTTTGCAACCACAAGAAAATAAGGATGACAGTTTCCCTGAAAAAAAAAAAAAAAAAAAAAAAAAACTATGTGGACATATGACATATGACTTGTCACTTACTTGTCCTGGCTGGTCACTGTTTGCTGTGCTTCCTGTAAGGCTGCTTCTAACTTTGTAATTCTATGCTTATAAAAGGCGATGAGGAGATCTGTTTGTTTCTTCTGGAAACTCCACACCTATTAGGGAAAAACAGGTCTTTGACATCACTCCCATAACTTTCTTCCCCCCACTTCTGGCAGGAGAAGAAAATCCATCAATTTATACTTTATTATTGCTCTTCCCCACCCCCACCCCCGCCCCGGGATATTTGGTTTAATTCAAGACTCCTCCAAATTAGAGAGTTCAGCACTAGAGAAAGCTGAAGGTTTTTATTTTCAGAACACTGGCTTTCTAATGAGAATATGGCCCTTTAAAAATATAATCATTCATCCTGAGCAAAAACTGTTTTTCAAGCTCAGAATCGGTTCTACCTTGCCTACAACGATGAGCTTGAACACCGGTAACCAATTTATATTCCCTAAGACACTTACACGGAGTCACTTGTGGGCTATTTATGCTGCTGCAGTAAAGGGTGAAGAGGCACCAGGACAGTATCTATTCCTGAATCTTATTTCTGGGCATGAACATATAATTTTATTTTTTGTGTCACTTTAGCATTTGTTATACGATGTACCCATTGTGAGATTGCTGAATCAGATCTAAAGTTAATATTTAGAATGTGTTTTGGCTTTGTCAGGCTCTACTTTTGAGTACACAGCAGTAATTATGTCTCATCTGCTTACTCCCTGCTCAGACTATAAACTTTTTATCAAGGGTCCTTCCCTAGATCTTAGTACTCATCCCATAAACTTTTTTTTTCCTCATTTAATTTGCAATTTGATCTTTCCACTTCTCTACAGAATTATATTTATATAATCTCTAACTTAATCTTTCTTTTAGACTTAAAAGAAAGATTAAGTTCTTTTATCTATCTATAACTAGTTTAGGAAAACTAAACTAGTTATAGATAGATAAAAACTTATTGTGCACTACTTTATTTTTATTTATTTTTTTGTACTGGGGATTGCATCCAGGGGAGCTCAACCACTGAGCTACATTCCCACATCCACAGCTCTTTTTATTTTTTGAGACAGTGTTGCTAAATTGCTGAGGCTGACCTCAAACTTGTGATTCTCCTGCCTCCTGAGTTGCTGGGAATACAAACATGTGCCATCACGCCTGGTTCCAATTTTTAATTCAATTAGGAATGGAGAAGCTCTGTTCAATTAGTGACCAGATTTTATTCCAATGGTAATGTGGTAATTATTTATATATTAGGGAAAAAAAACACATGATTTCAAAAGTCTTTTAAAAAAACATAAAGCTGGACATGGTAGCACACACCTGGAATTGCAGCAACTTGGCAGGCTGAGGCAAGAGGATTGCAAGTTCAAGGCCAGCCTCAGCAACTTAGCCAGGCCTTGTCCCAAAATAAAAAATAAAAGGGGCTGGGGATGGAGCTGAGCAATAAAGTACCCTTGGGTTCAATCCCCAATACCACAAAACAAACAAACAAACAAAAAAGCCCATAAAGTAGAAGAGGGGTTAGCAAACTACTGACTGATGAATGCTTTGAACTGTGACAGAGATTGCATGGTTTAGGAAGCCTAAAATATTTACTAGCTTGCTGTTGTCTGAATGTTTATGTCCCTCAAGATTCATAATTTAAAACCTAACCCCTGATATAACAGTCTGGGGTCTTTGGCCTGTGATTAGTTCCACAGAGCACAGCACTCCGAAATGGGATTAGTGCCTTAGAAGGATTGAGGGATCCTGTTTGCCCCTTTTGCTCCTTGAGGATGCAGCAAGAAGGAGCCATCTTAGCAGAAAGTAGTGAGCCCTAACAATACATTGAATCTGCTGGGCCTTGATCTTGATCTGACCAAGATCTGTGAATGTTACGTTTCTGTTGTTTATAAATTACCCTGTCTAAGGTATTTTATTCAGTCATATAAATAGCCTAAAATGGCTAGTGAAATTACATAATGGTATAGCCACTTGAAAGAATTGTTGGCAGCTCCTCAAAAAGTTAAACATAACAGCACAAACAGCTCTGTACTTGTGCAAGAGATTCATAAAAATATTAAACATTTAGAATGTTCCACTTGAAATAAATTCAATTACAGATCAAAATTTCAAAATGAAAAAGATCTGTCTCAATTGGGGGACTAGATATATTCACAGATGGTTGGTTCTGGCCTGAAAGATGGGAAGGACTACATCTATTTCTGTAAAGAGATTTGTTCTTCTTTGATAAAAAGTCAACCATATTAAATGTTAGTAATATTCCACATCATGTACAACCACAAGAATGGGATCTTAATTAGAATAAGTTATACAACAATGTATGTATAATATGTTAATACACTTTATTGTAATGTATATCTAAAAGAACATATAAAAACAAACAAATAAATGTTGGTGATGAGGAAGAATGACTCACATGGTAAAAGAATCCTGTTTTTACCTGTATATCGGGAGCCACTCTGGACAGGAGCTATGTACACACCTTTAAGTCATGAGTAAAGGGGTACTGAACAGTTATCGTACCCTGCAATACATTGGACTTTTACCCCCACCCCCAACCTCAGATAATGAGGTGTGTTTCCAGGAGTAGGTATCACCTGTTGGCGTTGAGTTATGCTCACTTGTTCCTTTGTAATCCTACCCCTTTGCCCTTTTGGGGATAGAATGTTCCATGGAACCTCCCCTTGTGTATCCCCTGTGTAAAAATAAAGAATTCCAGTGGCTCTCTCTCTTTCCATGGACCCCTAAGGTCACAGAACCATCTCCAGATTTTGAAAAGGTACTTCTGTGTGTTGGCGTCCTTTCTCCGCCGTTTTCTTAAGTTATTAGAGTAATCAGATTTTATGAAGCCAGCATAGGTCACCAGCTCGAACAGATGGTAATAACTATATTTTCCACTATATATATTTCATTATTTAAACCACACCTATCTATTTCACTCCATACGTGAAACTATCAGAGTAGTCCCAATTAATAAATAAAAATATATCCTTGTATGTTTCAATTTTCTAAGTCAAAGATGTATTTTTAGTGACTTGGATTCAGTTGATATCTTCAGGTACTTGGTAATATATATACTATGCTCACAGAATAAAAGATTCAGGAGACTGGGGTTGTAGGTCAGCAGTAGAGCGCTTGCCTAGCGCGTTCGAGACCCTGGGTTTGATCCTCTGCACCATATAAAAATAAAGGTATTGTGTCCAACTACAACTAAAAAGTAAAATATTTTTTAAAAAAATTCAATAGCTGCAATTATTTTTCCATGCTATGGCTATCAGCGCCTATTCAATTATTGTTACATCAGATTTACATTAATATTTTTAGGGTGATGCAAAGAAATTTAACTTTAAAATTGTCCAATGAGCTGAGACAAATGGTATTTTTTTTGTTTATTTCACTGACTTGTGAATTTTTAAATCTTATCAATAAAACATACGTTAAGTTATGGAAAAAAAAAAAGTTAAGCATAAGCTGGGTACAGTGGTACATGCCTATAGTCCCAATACTTCAGAGGCTGAGATAAGAGGATCACTTGAACCAGGAAATTCAAGATAGCTTGGGCAACACAGCCAGACCTCATCTCAAAAAATAAACCAAAAGGGTAGGGATGTAACTCAATGGTAATGTGCTTGCATAGAATGGGTGATCCTAATCCCATGCATGGGTTCAATCTCTAGCATCATACATATACACACACAAAAAAAATGTTAAACGTACAGTTATCATTTGACCCAGTGATCTCACTACTATGTATCTACCAAAGACAAATGAAAATATGCCAGGGATGGTTGCACACACCTATAATCCCTGCAATTTAGGAGTCTGAGACAGGAGGATCACAAGTTTAAAGTCAGTCTCAGCAACTTAGCAAGACCCTGTCTTAAAACAAAAAATAAAGGACTAGGGATGTAGCTCAGAGATAAAGGGTCCCTGGTTCAATCTCTAGTACAAAAAAAGGAGGTGAGGCTGGGGTTGTGGCTCAGTGGAAGAGTACTTGCTTAGCATGTGTGAGGCACTAGATTCGATTCTCAGCACTACATATAAAATAAAGGTCCATCAAGGTCTAAAAAAATAATTGAGAGAGAAAGAAATGAAAATATACACCCATACAAAAGCTTTCAATGTTCCACAGAAACATTCACAGGAAAAAGTAGAAGCTACACAAATGTCGATCCACGGATGGATAAATAACATGCATACCAATCTATATAGTGGAATATTATTTGGCCATAAAAAAGGAATAAAATATTAATGAGGCTGTGACATTATGAATAACATGCTTGGTTAATGCAGTCAGACACAAGAACACACAAGGTAAGATTTTTTTTTTTTTTAAAGTTCTGGGGATCAAACCCAGGACACCTTGCACCTGCTAGGCAACTACTCTACCTCTGAGCCTTATCCCCAGACCATATAATTCCACATTTATGAAATGTCCTGAATAGTCAAATCTATAGGAATAGAAAGTAAATTGTCTGGGGTTGCAGAGGATGGGAAAGATTTGGGAAGTACCTGTTAATGAGTTTAGGATTTCTTTTGGGGTGATGAAAATGTTTCTAAAATTAGGTAGTAGTGATTGTACAATTCTATGAATTTATTGAAAATCACCAAATTGCATAATTTAAAAGGGCAAGTAAAAATATCTCAATAAAGCTGTTATTTAAAAAGTAGGTGTATTTTATAATTCCTTTTGAAATTTATTTTAATATAAATATTTCTTTTACTTATATGGTCTGTATTGTCCTGTAGGTTTATGATCTTTTATAACCTTCTATGAATTTTCCACATTACTTTTGAAACAAACAAAGTACTTGATAGCTTTCAGAATGCTTTCATCTCATTAGATAATTACCAGAAGTAGGATGAGGCTAGCACCTTATTCAATGATAGAGCTTTCCTGGCCTACATGAGGCCCTGTGTTCAATCCCCAGCACCAAAAAGAAAGAAAGAAAAGGATGAATATTCTTATTTTACAATACATGTGAGGGAGTATGACTGGGTCAAAGAAATGAAATTACAAGCCAGAAGGCAGATTTGGTCTTGAGATTCCACCTCCATGAATTTTCCCAGTATTACCACTTTACCATATTTCTTAAACATTTAAAAGTAC